CCACAAAAGGTGGAGCAGTCTGAAAAATGCCAAAGATGTTGCATCCTTAATGTTTCTCCATCTTGGGTGGAAAACAAACTCAGCAGCAAGGATGCAGCACTTGTCTGCCACTGATCTGCAGCTCCAGAGCAGTTTATTGCCACTTGCAGTGTCCTGCAGTTGGTGGCCCAGGAAGACCAGGCACCTTTGGAATCTACTCTGCTGATATCTGGACATACCTTGTGCTGCAGCCCACTGCAGSTCAGCTGAGCCCCTGGGTGCAGCACCCCTCAAGATATGTTCTGCATTCATCCTCATGGATAATTCACTGGGGGTTTCTACTAGCATTCACAATGGTAGGTATGTGATGGCTGCATTGTCTACAAAGTCAGTGTATGACACAGTGCCAGGGACACATCATTCTCTTCTTGAATCTCGCAGCTTGCTGAGCTTCCCCATCCTATTCCCTTCACATTTTKAAAACTGGCTTGTCCTTTGCCTGCACACAAGAAGTGAGATTGCTACTACTGTTATTTGATCCACTCATTACCAGTAATAAAATACTCAGAAAATTCCCTTACTGGTTAGTATTGCTAAGTAGAAATGACACATCACATTATTTCCAAAATCTAGTCACTTAGAATCAGTCAAGAAACTGAATACATTAAATGAATGGATTATCCTTATTACTGTTATTACTTACATCTCATCAAAGGAATGGATAGTGTTGAATAAGAAAGCAAAATCTTATTCTTTTCTTCATACCAGTTCCAGTGACCCAATTTTTCTGTGCAGATGGGAAAGGGAGCCTGTTTCTGTATCCATTAGCCAAAGTACATGACATGGCCTCAGATATCCAGCACAGGTTGGTAGGAATAAGAGGTTTTGCAAATAGGAGCCAAGGATGTTTTCATCTTTGTAGCATGATGTATCACTAGGCATCCCATTTCTATTTTTCATTTCATTCATGAAATGAAGCCCCTCCTAATTTATCTCAGCCTCTGGCAAGTTGTGGCCTGGTGGCTTTTACAAGCCTTAAATTCATGCCTGAAAGAGATAACACTGGTCTTCTCATTCAGTTRAAACAAAGACTTACTTAGAAAATGTACACATTTAAACCCACTTAATGTTTCAAACAYCATTATTTTCAGTGGAAACTGTTTCTTAGTTAAATGGTTTTCAGGCATCAGACTATTATATGACAGATGATTTTGTCACTATGCAAAATGTGAAACCTGTAATCAACTTGTTATGGCATTTCACAAAAGTATGTGACAGTAAAATAAGTAAACTGTCATTTGGGCAATCAAGTCTTGAAATCCTGCAGGAGGCAAAAAAAAGTACCCGACACTCAATCTTCATGGTAGAGATGATGTTCAAAAAGATCATTTAATACTGCCACAATCTTAGAGGTTTGAATAGAATTTTTATTGTATGCTTAAAATCGCAATAATTTTGCATTATGCTTTAATCACTTATTTTCCCCCCGAGTTGATTTTTTCTCCAGATAATGTACATGCATGTCACACAGCAAGGTGTGTTAACAAGGTGTTGGTTAAATTGAAACAGTATTTTCCCTTWATTATTAATGACAACATTATCAATTACAATGCACTTTCAGACTGGTTTGATATGAGAATGAAGTAGCTAGGATCCCATCCTGATTTACTGGCACCTGGMACAGCCTGGGTAGATGGTGCTGGAGGCACAAGCTCCGACATGGCTGGAATGCTTGGGATGACGTGCAGCTGAACCCACACTGTGCTGGCTTTAACGGATTTCACACAGAAGTTTTAATAAAGGAAAGRGATCCAGAAGCTACGGTCCATAAGCCGCTTGTGGCCCTTCCTGCCRGTCTGTTTGGCCTGCGGCTTGTGCTCACAAGTCCTTGTTCTCCCCCGTGGCTGCGGGTTTGATGCAGCAGGCTGGCAGCTGCAGCCCTCCTTGGGCTTCCCTTTTCCCCAGGTGCTCCCCCAGGCTCAGGGAAGKAGCAGCCCAGGGTCAGGCTTAAAAGCAGTTTGCAATCCTGTCAGATCACAGGGAAGGTACCCTAAGGGACACAGACTTTCACCATTATGCCACKGAAAGTTGTGCTCCCTTCTCATCTCCAAAATGCAGACATCCTGGGTGCACAGGCACCAGCAATGAGCTCTTATGACTGGAACTGTAAAATGAATCTCTAGCCTCCTGTTTCCAGTCATTAGTGACAGTCACAGATTTTGGAACTGGTCTCCTCATAGAAATGAGCTGTAGAAATAGGAATAAAATTACATCTKATTGTGAGGAGAGTGAAGGGAAACAAGAAAACCTATTTTTATCCATTTGTTTCTGTTTTGTTTTTGTTTCTTTTCTTTTGGCTTCTTTATGGTTACAAACCAAGTGGTTTGTAATCCACAAGTTAATATTTTTGCATGGAATAACCTTCAGTGAAAAGCACTGCACAGCCTGCCTTCGAAGAAAATTGGTTTTGTTYTGACAACGTTACGAATATTTGGAAATTACTCACTGAGCACACACAACAGGTCTTTTGTTAAGTCTAACTGGGAACCTAAAAAATAGTATTTCTGTGTATACACAGCTGGTTTTGCTGTATGCTGAAGCTGCAGGGCCCCAAGAACAGGCTTAGACTGGAGTGGAAAAGGCCCTGAGCATTTGACCCAACAAGAGCTCGATCCTGCGYGCCTCACCTTGAGTCCTCTTTATAAAAGAGATTAAACAGATAAAAGGGACCTGGAGAGAGGAAGTTTGTGTGGACAGATAAGCCACAGACCAGGGGGAACTGGATAACAGTGACAGTAAGACCCATTTACTCTAAAGGTACTTAGGAGAAGGCAAAGAAGTAGAGATTCATTCTCACTACAATGCAAAGCAATAGAAGAAGGTCTTGAGAAGAAAAAGGATTGGGGAGCTTAGGGAAAGCTAAGAGTTCATGGAAATCATCATTTTGGACTCTCACCATTGACCACATTTTCCCTAGGAAAAGTACCACTGCAATGGATAACCAGATCAGTTATGGGAAAGGGACGGAACTCTACCCATTCTGTGATCCTATAAATGTAGGCTAAATATGCTGAAGAAGTCAAAAAAGACTGTCTGAGTTCAGAGGTATCTGAGCTGTTCTCTGCCACTTGCCATCTCTACTTTCTGAGTCTCAGCTGTTCTACTGCTTTATTTGTTCTCAGATATGGCTCTTCCTAGCAGGTGCCTCCTTAGATCCTGAAGTGAATATGTTCACTGTGTCTGGTACTCCTCATAACCAGTGATTTGGCTGGTCCATGCTGTTTCTGACAGCACAGAGTCTGACAATCAGAAGAATGTACTTATGGAATAGAGGACAGTCACCTTTGAGTGTGTTTTGCTTCCCTGGGGAGGGCTCATTAAATTATAAGAATTTTAGGAGTCGTAACTGGCCATTTGACAACCTGCCAACTATTTTGACAAACTCACTTGTAAAGTGAGAGCAAACTACATGGGATTGTAAGCTTCCAGAAGCTTCCAGTTTTACAGGGTATTTGTGTTGCAAACAATGCACTCAGGAAACCCAGTGATGTTCCTGGAGTTCGTAATTGTTGATGTCACTGATAAAAACTACTTCTGGTAATGGACAGCTCAGTAAGGGTGACCTAGTCCAAATGCAAAGTCAAAGTGGTTGCTGATGACACAGCAATTAACAACCTTTGGCGGCTGATTGACACACCAGAACTCAGCATAAAATTTCCCACCACATTGATGTATTCTGAATGCTTTTAACAGCAAAGGAAGGCTGGATCAAGTCACTAAGGTGCAAACATTCCTCATAATGGTAGGCAGAACCAGTTCCCTGAAACCAATTAGTATTTTTTCTAAAAATGACCAGTCTTGTCTTTCTTTTCCTGCCCTCATCCTCCAGCTCCCAGCCTGTGCCTCGAATCTCTCCCAATCTTCCAGGTCAGGCTCCTCCGATCTGCCTCGTCCGTGAGCCTTGCCCAGGGTGGGAGGGGCAGCGGYGCGGCGGGCAGTGGGGTCCGGTGTGTCCCCGGCGCTCCCGGGGAGCTCTCCCCGGTGCCGGCAGCAGCGGAGGAAGCGCTGGGGCGGCTTCCCCTGCACCGCCCCCGCGGCCCGGCAGGCGGCAGCAGCGCGCAGCTCCGCGGGGCTGCGATCGCGCTGTTCCGCTGCGCGCCCGCGGGCCGGGCCCGCTCCCCCGCCTTGCCCTGCCGTGACCGCGGGCCGCGCCCGCCCCCGCCGCCGCACAGGCACGGCTCCTCCGCTTTGCGCGGGGCGGCGGCGGGGCTGCGGAGGGCGCCGTGCGGTGCGGGGGAGCCCCAGGCGGGCCGGGCGCGGAGAGGTGTCCCGCCGAGACAAAGGCACCCGGGGAGGTGCAGCCGCGCTCGCCGCGCCCGCGCAAAGCGGAGGCGCCCCCCGCCGCTGCGCCGCCCCTCCGCGCCCTCCCGCGGGAGAGCCCCCGGGCGAGGGGTTCCCACAGCTGGGGCTGCCTGAGCCCTGCCGGCAGCAGGAGGAGGAAGGCGGGCGGGGGAGCAGCTGTGTCGTGGGCAGGAGGGAAGCCGCTCTGCGAGCGTGAACCGAGCTCAGCGCCGCCGCCCGCCTCGCCTCGCCTCCCCGTCCGTCCGTCCCTCCCTCCCTTCTCCCCTCCTCCCCCCGCCTCCCCCCGCCGCAGACGGCTGCGAGCCCGGATGGTTTGCGAGCGGAGTTGAGGGGGCAAACTTTGAAGCCCAGATGCCTCTGGGGCTGCGCGGCAGAGCGCGGCTGCTCCTGCAGGCACCTGCCGCCGCCCTCCCCCCGGCGCTGCCGCCCTCCGCGGGGGCGGCC